AGGACCCGTCATTTCATAAGGACCAGACACCCCTTCACCGAGAGCAGGGGCCAACTTACATTGGTTCTCCTTCCTCTTCTCTTCCACTCCCCTGCCCCTCACTCCTGCTCTGTGGCACCCAGTAAAGTCCTCACATATAAGCCTTTTTCACGGGCTCTCCTTTCTACAGGACCCAGACTAAGACAAAAATCACAGTGGTCACCTGTGTGCCAGTGCTCAACAAGGTAGGTGACACCATGAGACACCTTGTTCTTTAGTTCCTGAAAAGGAAAATAGCTTGACCCCTCATGGCATAGATAGGAAAAGAGGGAAAAGGACAGTAGCTCTCACTGCTCAAGGTGGGACAGAAGGATAAATCCTGACCCGGGGCTTCCGGGTGGGGACCCTTGGGCACTGGCTGTGTCAGGAAAGGAAGAGATCTCTGCACTTGACAGAGCTCAGCCACGGGTCCCCAGGGCCATGGCTGTCAGTCCTCAGCTCTGTCCAGCGGTGGCTGGAGGAAGAGCATTTGACCCTCATGCTGTGCCTCTCCAGAGAGGAGAAGAGAGGAGAGAGCAGTTCCTGAGCTCTCGCAATGCGCCAGCCCGGGAGCAGAGGGCTTGTAACCGTGGGTCTGCCAGCCAGGGAGTCAGACTGACGCCCCGCCCCCTGCAACACACACACCGCCCCACCCCTTATACTGCTGTGCTGTCGAATCAGGCTGCCGCTGGCCCCATGTGGCTATGTAAATACACAATTAAATTAGTTAAAAGAAAATAAAACGTTCGGTACTTCAGTTGCATGAGCCACATTTCAAGTGCTCAACACCTCTATGTGGCTAGTGGCTCCTGCCGGATGCTGCAGGAGAGACCATCGCCATTGGGTAGAGAGCTGTACGGAGGCTCTGGTCTAGAGTCAAGACTCCATGGGTTTTAGTCAGTTTGCCAGGAGGGAAATACTGGACTTTCTACTCACCTATCAGTGGAATCCAGGGCCAGTTTTTATTTATGTATAAAAGAGTCGTGACAGTATTTGTTCTCTGAGTTGGTGATAAAGCAGTTCTATGTGATTATGTTAACAGCAATGGATATCTGGATGCTGGGGGCACAAGAAGCCCCCAATCTTTATTTTAAAAATAGATCCTACTTTTAAAAGTCAAGCAAAAAATATGTATACGTAGGAATGTATTTAATTCCCATATGCTTAAGTACAGAACACCCAAAAAGCACTAGGTTAGAACAACTGTCTAGAATATAAGATTAACATTCCCCAAATCTACAAAAATAATGGAGAAATTATTAAAACAAATAATATTTAATATCTAAATTTTACTTCATATGTGTATCTGTTATCTAAGACCAATGTGGGTTCCACTCAAAGCTGAGGATAAGAAACTATATTGGGGTAGAAACCAGAAAATGAGGTGTAAGTTAGCCTCTTCATCATCACGTGGAAGGCACCGACCTCGTGAGCTTAAAATTTTCATTGTGAACACCAGAATATCAGCTCATTTTGAGATATTCTGCAGGGAGATTAATATCCTTCCAGAGTCTCTAAGAATTACTGTTTGTACCTTAAGAGATTGTAAATCATTATATTAGGAAATCAATATATAGCATTAATCATATGTAACTTTTAGTATTACTTACTAACACAGCCTTTATAATTAAATATAAAGAGATTAAATAAAATAGAACTAACTTTTCAGGTTTTGCATGGGGCCAATTCTCAGTGGAGCCTGCCACAGCACCTTGTCTGGTGTAGGCACTTCCCTACCCATCTCTCCAATGCTGGTGTTCCTCAGGTCCTAAGCCTCCTCTTCTCATCACTTATCACTTTTCTAAGCGATCGTATCAGCAACTAAGGCTTCATTTACCAAATATAAATTGATAATCCCAACAGTAATAAGGGCTACCATTTGTTGAGCACTTACTATGTGCTACGCCCTGTGCTTTACAAGCATTAACCCAGTTAATAGTCACAATAACCCTCCCTGCAAGGTGGGAACAGCCCATGTCTCCTCCTGATAGCCACGTGGATGCACGCATCAGGGGTACCTTAAACACCACCCTTCCAAACTTAACTCACCCTCCCCACAAATCTGCCTCTGTTCCTCCATACCTTCACACAAAACATCACTAGCCAGAAACCTACATCACCCTGGATTCCTCCCCCTCATCTAGTCTCCACTTCCAATCCAGGCCCAGGTTCTATTAGTTCTCCTTCCTAAATATCCCTTCATTCCATTCATACTTCCACCATCCTAGACAAAGCTCCCATCACTTCTGGCCTACAGTCCTGTGACAGAGGTCCTTATGTGTCCGCCTGAGGTAAATATGATACATGGCTTTCTGAGTGTCAGGCATCTGATAAAAACTTATGCAGCTGACATACCAGTTGAGGCAATTCAAGGCTGGAGGTCACAAGCTGAAGTGAAGCACACGTGCCCAGGTGAGCCTACCATTATCAGAAAAGTCATCATGGGGGAGGGGTGGTGGTGGGATGAATTGGGAGATTGGGATTGACATATATACACTAATATGTATAAAAGTGATAACTAATAAGAACCTGCTGCATAAAAAATAAATAAAATTCAAAAAAAAAGAGAAAGAAAAGTCATCACATACATGCACCCCCATGTTCACAGCAGCACTATCTACAATAGCCAAGACCTGGAAACAACCTAAATGTCCATTGACACAGGAGTGGATAAAGAAGGTGTGGTGCATATATACAATGGAATCCTCCTCAGCCATAAAAAAAGAACGAAATAATGCCACTTGCAGCTGCATGGATGGACCTAGAGATTACCATACTAAGCAAAGTAAGTCAGAAAGAGAAAGACAAATACCATATGATATCAGTTATATGTGGAATCTCAAATATAACACAAATGAATTTATCTATGAAATAGATACAGACTCACAGTCATAGAGAACAGGCTTGTGGTTGCCAAGGGAGATGGGGGGTGGGGGAAGGATGGATTGGGAGTTTGGGACTAGCAGATGCAAACTATTATATATAGACTGGATAAACAACAAGGTCCTATTACACAGCACAGGGAACTATATTCAATATCCTGTGATAAACTAGAATGGAAACATTTTTTAATTAAAAAAAGAAAAGTCATTATAAAAAGAGATCTGAGAAAGGATAATTTATACTTAAAAGCTTTTTAGGATGGAAATATAAACAGGCTCAAATGAGTTCAAAACGTTTATTTTCTTGTAGCTTCTGCAGTACAGTGCAGCTGGGTGCCTCTGGCTTGAGGTCCAATGTGAGGCTGCAGACAAATTATCAAACTGGGGCTGCAGTCTCAACTGAAGGCTTGACTGGGGTTGAGGGGCTTCCAAGCTCATGCATGTGGCTCTTGGAGGCCTTGGTCCCTTTGCCATGTGTGCCTTTATACAGGGATGCCCCACAACATGGCAGCTGGCTTCCCCTAGGGCAAGTGATCCAAGAGGCAGTGAGACAGAAAGGGCCCCCAGGATGGAAGCCACAATCTTGTAATGAACTCGTCTCAAAGGTAACATCCCATTGCTTCTGTCATTCATTCAGAGGGAGTCATTAAATCCAGCCCACACTCAGGGATAGGAGATTCCACGTGGGCAGCAACCACTGAGGGCCATCCTCGAGGCTGCCTACTATTATCATCCAAGCAGACTTCACAGCCTTGGAGGGAGGGAGGGGACGTGCTAAGGAATAAATGGGGTCCTATCAGCATCTCCGTTAGCCCTGTCTGCTTTTCGGAGTTGAACTGACTGTGAGTGGCATGTCCTGCTCCTTTTTCTCAATAGGTGTACTCTTGTCCCTGCCCCCTCCTCACTGCCACCTCTGCCACCACAGGGATAGGTGGAGAACCCACACATTCCTGAGAATGGCTGCGTAGCAGACTTTTTACATAATTCTAAAATAGATCAGCATTACTGTAGCTCCTGGCTCTACTCTTAAACGTGGATCCAACTCTCTAGAAAATATAAAGATAATTAAAATTTAAACACTATCACAAAGTTCTAAACTTTAAAGCAACTCAAGTTATTTTGAAAAGAACTAAATCTCTATCAGAGGAGATTTTAAAAATATAATACAAGTTAATGGTGAAAAATAATTATTTCATAATGTAACATCTATATTTCTGAGAAGTATTTTTATTATAATTCAATCTACTGTTACAAGCAAGAGAGAGAGCACTATGGGTTGAATTCTGTGTCCCCAAGAAGATGTTGGAATTCCAACTACCAGGAACTCAGAATGTGAACTTATCTGGAGATAGGGTCTTTGTTTTTTTTTTTTAACATCTTTATTGGAGTATAATTGCTCTACAATGGTGTGTTAGTTTCTGCTGTATAACAAAGTGAATCAGCTATACATATACATATATCCCCATATCTCCTCCCTCTTGCGTCTTCCTCCCTCCCAGAGATAGGGTCTTTAACAGAGATAATCAAGTTAAACGTGGGCATTAGGTAAGGCCCTAATCTAATCTGACCAGAGTTGTCATAAAGGTGTTCATTTGGACACAGAAACAGGCACACATACAGGGCAGATGATGTGAAGACACAGGGAGAAGACGGCCGTCTACAAGCCCAGGAGAGAGGCCTGGAGCAGATCCTGCCCTCACAGCCTCCAAAGGATCCAGCCCTGCCAACACCGTGATTTTAAACTCCCAGCCTCCTGAACTGTGAGACAATAGATTTCTGTTGTTTAAGCCTCCACGCCCCGCCGCCCCGGTCTGTAGTACTTTGTTATGGCAGCCCGAATAGATTAAGACAGGCAGAGGAAAAAAAAGAGAGACTCAGAGAGAGAGAGAGAGAGATTACATGTTAAGCTGTATATTCATCTGGAGGACTTGACTTTAAAGAGAAATGGCATAAGGGCCTATTCTTCTATGGAGCAGAAATGCTCAATTCCAACAGGCTGACAGAAATTTCCAAAACATGTGAAAACAGAACACAGTGCCAAGTGCCAAGAACCAGACTCTGCCTCCACAGGTGGGGTCCGGGAGGGAGAGGGGACCCTACCTTCTGGTAGTCCTCTTTGGACCTCAGGGATGCCTCCATGTGCTCAGCAGAGGTCGGGTAGATGGCAGAGCGGTACTGAGAGCCGTGGTCGTTGCCTTGGCGCAAGCCTGGGAAAGCAGAAAGCAGAGGATTACTGGGGTGGCCTGGGCAACGAGGCCAGTGCCACACATTCTCCATGACTCATGTCCTGCTAAGTGCTTGTTTTAACTGCATCCTGACACCACTCTCCTTAAACAAGCATGCAACGTATCTGTTTTGCTTTGCCTATTTTAATTGTAACAAATATCTTTGAACTTAAGGTAAATTTATCGCAGGCCTTGCATCGCAGTAGATGCTCTGCAAATCTGCATTTTTCTATGCAGATACTTAAGTCATAACCATGTATCGCTTGCAAAGCACTGTGACACACACTGTTTCCTTGGCTCCTAATGAGACATTCTGTGTGGCAGGTGTTACCGTCCCTCGGCTGGCAGATAAGGAAATGGAATAATGTAAGTGGAAGTGCCTGGCCTAGTGCTTTGCACACAGGAGTTGCCTAATAAATGACAAAATGACTGATGCTCAGAGAGTTTAAAGAGTTTGCCTAAGGTCATGCACCTAATCAAAGAAAAACCTAGCACTTAAAATCAGCCCAGCATACTTTCCACCCTGTCACAGCAGCTAAAGTGTAGATGCTGGTCAATTTCTAACTGAATGATAGAGTCCCCAAGTGAAACAGCCACAGGCCTGCCATAGATCCCCTATAGATCCCCATGTTGCTGTAAAATGAACTTCACACATGTTTACTGCATCATTCAAGCATCAGTTTCAGTTTTAACAAGTGCCCCCAAACTCCTCCAGTAAAAGATGCAACTTTCCAAAACAAACAGTTCCATATTTTCGAGCCCCCAGCTTAGTTGACTTCCTAGAAACTCCATTCTCCCACCTTCAGAGTCCCCTCCTCTCCTCAATGCACAAAGGCCACATGGGGGCCAGGAACTAAGCGGCTTAAAGAGCCAATACCAATAATGACATCAAAATATTAATTTAATATTATATAATAAAAATAAACCAGCCCATGTCTCCAATAAGCATTGATTAATACCAAATTAGTATATCTATTTCATTTCTTTCTAAGTTATATATTCATTTAAGTATTATGGTAGTAGTCTTATGGTGTACAATATATAAGTATTAGTTACAGTATACAGTAGGTATTATAAATATTATTTATTAAGCACCTAATACATGCTGAGTACTTTTTCAGATGCTGAAGATATAGCAATGGATGAAAGAAAATCCTGTCTTCACAGAGCTCACATTCTAGTGGAGGGTAAGAGACTGGATAAATATACATTCCAGAATGTTCTCTGTTTTCAATTTTCCCTCCTTCCAAGTAGGGCTTTTCCCATGTGACTACTTCCCATCCTTTTGTCCTAACATCCATTTGCATAATGGCAAGATGGTTGCATCACTGTTCCTTGTGAAACATTCTCCACGAAGAAAAAATATTGCCGGATGGCTGATTTTCGGTCAAGTCAGACCCCTCTACATTCAGAACAAGATGCCGAAAAACACTGTCTCCATGTGTAGTTGTTTAAATCTATTTAAGTTTTCTTTTTTTTAAAAGAGAAATTAGTATGTGAGTAAAAGAGAACCTGCAGGTATGATTTATTTATATTTTTCAATAAGTTTTACTAAGATTACATACGCCTTGTACACTGAAGACTAATATCTGTGTGTTTACTTGGAGGTCTCTGAATTATCATAGGATCATGGAAAATTGTTGCTTACAGATAAAAATTGGCTTTTTAGAAAACAGAGTGGGAATAATTAAGAATCACTCCAAGGATATGGTTTAACAGTGGGCTCTTTCACGGATCATATTTTCACAAATCATCTGGTATAAGGATTATACAATGAAACCCTTAAGTTTACATCGATTTTTTAGAGCTGCTCTTGTAGTGACATGACAACCTAAGGGGTAGAAACATCTGGAAGACTTCACAAAATTGTGTGGTTGGGCAGAAAAGATGCACATGGCTGTCATTCTGGACAAGTATATAAGGCAATGAATTTCTATAAAAAATAATCCATGCATTATTTATACAATTAGAGTTCATACTACTACTGTAATCGGGGATGGGGATTTATGGGCCTTTCCCTGAAGCCATGATCCCTCGATTCTATATTCTAACTTGATCGCTTGTTCACCGTAACACTGTAATACTGATATGGCTCCTCCCACTGTTGTCCCTGTCTTCTTGTGCAGGTCTGGGCTGTCACCAACACACTGTGGACAGCTTTAAAGAGGAGTAACTTCGTGGGCATTACCCACAGCCCTACCCCAGACTCACTGCACCTCTCCCATTGTACGAACCCAAACTAACCGTGCATTGGAAAGATGGGAGCTATTCACACAGTTATAGTCACATTTGTGGGCAGAAGTCTCTCAATTTTGAATTTACAGCTTCAACCTTCTAATCACATCCCTTCTTGGATGTTCTAATAAAACTAAAAGTTCTTCATGTCAGAAACAATACCCTCTCTTCCTGGACACTCTGGCTAAACCCCTGACTGGCCAGGAAGGAAGACAAGAAAGTGTTAAAGAGATACACTAGGGGATGGAGAGAAAACATGAAAGCCTGTGTTCAGATTTCTTTGAGTCTTGAGTGATACTGGACTAGGCATTAACTCTCCGGTCTACTCAAGGACAACGTTATTTTGATTGCATTCTTCCATCACAGTTCATCCTGAGAAGAAGGTATAATACCTTAAACCAAAACCATACATCTATATCCACATACATGTGTGTGTACCTTAAACCAAAACCATACATCTATATGCACACACACGTGTGTGTATTTGGTTAATTCCAATGCATGTACCTTTCAGTTCGCTAATGAAGGGGCTTATTAAGTGGATAGAAGCTTCAAATTTGAAAGCAGATGGTTCACTGGGAAATACGATTTGATGCTCAGTAGATTGAGAAACCTATAGAACTAGGGCTTTTCTGTTCTCATTATTTTTAATACATTGCATTTATAGATGTTTAGCATCATTAAACTTTTCACCATTTCTTTCAACCTCTATTGGTTTATATAATGAACACAAAACAGTAATTCACATGTGAGGAAAACCTGTTTACTAAATCTCTTGTCAGAAGCCTAGGACTCAGAGCTGCAAGAGCTTGTTTTTAGGTCTGACTCTGCCACTGACATGTTTTATGCAAATTTCCTAATCTTTCTGAGCTTCAAACCTCTTCTGTAGAACAAGGATTATAAGGGCCTAACCTATAGGTTTGTTTGAGGAGCAAATAAGATGGAACCTGTAAAGTGCTTTGTTGACTATAAAAAATTATGTAGGGGTTAAATACTTTTATTTTTACAACTTTTCATAATCTTAGAACAGTTCAGAACAACTACTTTGAAATAAAAATAACAAATGACATCACACAAGACACTTTAGGAGTGACCCTTTTCCCCCAGAAAAGCATTATTTATATTAATATCTCAGATACTCACACAGCAGGGGTCTCACAGATAAATAATCCAAAGAGAGGGTAAGATTCATTTTATGTGTGTAGAAAGGTACTGCTCAGTTTTTAACTAAACAGTTTATTACATTTTTCTTTAACAGAATGACCTTCCTAGTTAAATTTTAACTCTGCTCATGTCCACCCCAGTTCTTCATTTCAATGGAAAACAAACCCAAGAAAGGGTTTGTTTGAGTGAATTCTCCTTCCCCTGCTCCTACCCATGAAACGCTTTCAAATGCAATGTCTTCACGCTTGGTCTCTGATCTGAAGTTTGAGAAAAATCAAGCCTGTTAACATTATCTTGTATCTCTCAAGCTCACACCCACTGGGTTACTAAAAAGGGGGAAAGAAAGACTTGCAGAGCGGGTGATAGAGAGAAACAAAAACAATTAAAAATTATTGAAAAACGAAGTTCTTAAAGTCCTTCTTTCTGACTTCCTGCCTTCTTTTCTTCCTTCCACTCATTCATCCGTCTTTCCCTGAATCAGGCAAGGTACTAGATACTGAGATTCAGAAATAAGACAGTCTCATTTTTCAACTAGGTCCCCATACTAGTACAGTGAATGCCACCTTATGAGTTAAACCTAGATCTACCTGACACGGAAGCACTTTCTCTTTTCAAGATTGATGCACAAGAAGTTACAGCGAAACAATCAAAGACTATGGAACACAGTGTGTGTGTGCGGTGCATCTGGTGGGCAGTGGAGCATGCCAGCCCAAGACCCAGAAATAAGAAGAAGCTTGGTCTACGCTGAGGGCTGTGAGGAGATGAGCCTGGGTCCTGCCAATTGTCCTGGAAGGAAATGAAGCCAGTCGGTTGAGCACGAGGCCGCATGGGTGTCTTGACAGGACACACAGGGGACCAGAGACGTATGGAAAAATCAGTTTCAAGGGAGCCACAGAATTCCGTGGAACCCCGGGTGAGCATAGGGTTCCAAATCATCAAAAATCCAGAGCTCTTTTGCACATTGATTCAATATGTGTTGCAAAGTTCACTGTGCCTTCCACTTGGCTTTGGAAAAACTAGGAGGATAAATTATTAACATTATTTTGGCTGTCTTCACATCCCAGGAAAGTAAGCAATAGACTTGCTGTAGGGGGTGAAAAGAGAATAACCGGCTCAGATGCAACATCTTGTGCTTAAAATTCTTCCATAACGCTCTCTAAGCTGATTACTGAGGACTGGGCTTTGGGGCATTCTTGAAAAGAACTGCCCTCTTGGAACCTACCAACTGTTTGAGATTTCTCCATCCACCTTCTCCAAATAAGATTTGAAAGGGACAAACCACCATGAGACTGCTCTAAGATTTCCCTCTCTCTCAGTGGAGCCGGAGAAAATGCTGGAAAACAGAGAAATGCTTAACCTATAATGAGGCAAAAAGATGGATGAGTTCTCATCTGCTCAGTAGCCCTCTAAACTTTGGCTCATCTTTGGGTACTAGCTCTGTTTTATACCTTCAGACTAGAGAGATGAGAAATATGCCCGAACATGGAAATTTTAAAGGGAAGTTCACACTGTGAGCTGTTGTGAGGTGATTAAGAAATTTCAGGAGCCACCAGCTGATAGTGAACGTCAGGGCAAGGAAGGAC